GGGTCCCTGTGTTCCACGAGCCAAACCGCACTAAAGACCTACCCCTCCACACCTCCCCCTTGCCCGCCCTATCCCCAGGATATGACCTTTAAGTCTACATAGCTAACCAATGCCACTATGCTAGCAGAGCAGCACCTACAAGAAGAAAAAAGTAGCCAAAAAAACAGGCAACAAATACAATGATAACGGTAGAGTTAGTAGTTAACAACAAAAATCAGCAATACAAGCAACAAATGCAATAAAAATAAATAATGAAGGGTAGCCAATACAATCAGCGAAAAGGGAATAAGAGAAAATAAAAAAAATAGAGGGTAGAAGTAGGCTGAGGTGGTGCTGGCGGAAAAAGGTTGGGTTGGCAGGGTGCGGGATGACGGTGGTGGGTGCGGCTAAAGTAAGGGAGGAGCTAGGATGACGGGATCTAGGGCGACGACCACTGGTCTTCCGTTTAGGATGGAGTTGGGGTGTTGACTAGGGCTGGAGGCCGGCGGTGACTGACGGGATCTAGGGCCTAGTAAAAGTTTTCCTTAATAACTAGGGCTGAACATCTTAGTTAAGTCTGATGACATTTACTAGAAAAATGAAATAACCAGCATCGGATATCTAAAAGAACCGGTGCTATACCCTCGCAGAATTTATATTACAATGTTTAGATTAACTAAGACGCGCGTTGGGGTAATAGACCTATTTGTAATTAGTTGTTGGAGATCAATCCTAAAATAGAGGGCTTTTTCCCCTGAGCAAAATGATCAATCCTACAAGTAGAGGGCTTTTTTCCCTGCGCCAAATGCTCAATCATCTATCACCAAAATGTTCCTAATCTAAGAGACAATGCTCCAAGAACATAGAAATTTGGAAACAGTCTCACCCTTCGCGTGGAATTCTAGCAGCTCAGGGAACCTCAACGGTGAAGATCGCAACCCCTCATGTGTCTAATAATATTTCTAAAGCTGCACCATCCTTTTCCATGATTGTGGGGATTATCACGAGCAAGAAAACCTCAGGGCGGAGTTGCATCAGCCCCGCATGTGGCCTTTGTCCGTGGTAGTTTGTCGTGTCAGGGTGTCCTCCAGCGGCCCAAACAACGTAACTATGGAGTAGAAACCGAGTCTTGTGATTCAAACTATGCGCTATGGAGCACATATGTGTCAGAAAGTAGGGCAGCTGCATTTAGGATTTCAGGGTAGGACCTGGATAATTTTCTAGTCCAGAACCAGGGTTAACACTTAACAGCCTGGTCAACTGGGTCAAAAATTGAGTCAGCAATATCCCTATACAAATATGATTCTAGGTGACCCAGGCCAGTCCGCAGGTCGGCCAGATACACAGCCCACTTTGCAAGTGGTAGCTGGTCCCAATTTGGCTTAACCAAATATCTTGCCTACAAAGTCATCTCATAATTCTTCTATTATAGTCTTATGCCCAATATTATGATCAAGGAGAAAAAGTCAATATTGCATAAGGGAACGTCCAGCTTATTGTTCAAGAAAGCTGAAATGAGTTATTAGACCAAGTTGCATAGTTATTTGTTGATCGAGAAGTTCTCTCATGGACATCACAATATTGACACCATTAGAAAATACTTTGCTGCCTATTTTTGTCCCTCAGGTATCAAAGAAAGCCAGTCTAATCTACTATTTTAATCCCTGCACTTCACTCTCATGTCTATGGTAGTATTGTCATGTTCACCTGAACTGTAGAAGCAACATGTACTGCCTAATCGCATCACATTAATTCCTCTTTTGTTTCCCCCTTCCTCTCCCTAAACTCCCGATGGCCAGCCTCTCGCACCTCCTCAAGGGAGTGCCAATGCCCTTATCCACGTGCCCGGACGACCTCAACCAAACACATCTTATCATCTATGGACACCACCCCAATCTGGTACAAAAATTCCTCATGTCTAACTCTATCCCATCTACTAAGAAGCACATCCACCGTGGCATCCTTAATTCTACCACTCTCAACTTCGGCGTGTGGGTTTTCTTCCCTGGCCAACATTCAACCCATACAACGTAGCTGGTCTAACCAACAATAACAAACCCAGTATAATCTCAACTTCATAGGCGTTTGGGAATTGGGTATGCATATGTATGCAAACTTACCCATGCAAAAGACAAATATACTATTTCTTGTCCGTGGCTCTATAAACTTACCTTTCAATTATAGTGGTACACACTTGTCACACCATACGCGAGCCATCACTTCGTCTTACCCACCTGATACAATGAGCAACATCCTCATCAATCTTGCCATATCTCTTAATGACAAACGCAAGGTAGCTGAAACTAACACCTTGGGAATAGCATGTGAATTGATCCTCACAATAAAGAACCTAGGCATCAAAATAAAACAACATAATATATTTAAAAAGTCCATTTTGGATTGATATATGGCTTCAACATTTTGGCCCAGCCACTGAAGTCCATATCTACCCCAACATATAAGGGGCTAAGATGCCATCACTTTTTATGCCCCAAAGAATTCTTTTTACGCTTCTACCTCCATTCCTGTCTTAATTGAACACCTTTCACCCATCAGTGTCGCAGCTCCCTTCTCAGGTGGATTCATGCGGGGAAGAAGAGGAATTTAGCTTCGATTTATCCCTCATCTGTGCAGATTGAAAGTTATGCATCTTCTTTCTTAATGCGGAACTGAGACACTACGCAAAGTGTAAGTTCATTATTTAAGGTTTGGTGGGCGTTGATAGAGTAATTGGATTTGGGTTTCAAGCATTTCTGTTTTTAATCAAAGGCTGAAAGGTCCCTGTTGTTAATCAAATCTTGAAAGACCCCCAATTTTAAACCAAGGGTTAAGGGTTTCTACTTGTCTAGACCTTTCTGTAGCGGCCTAAATAGATATTCCTCTCACATTAGCTGGATCTAATGATTTAGGACATTTACTTTAATTCATCTATACGTGTATTTGTTGTTTTCCCCATTTTTCTTGCGGCTACTGCTCCCTTTGGACTGTGACTCTGGTGTTTAAAATTTTCCTTACTCTCTAGAACTATGCTTTCACTTTTTGGGATATCTTCTACTCCGTATTTTCTTACTTGTGAAGAGATAGGTGTCTTCATTATTGCATTCCACTCGGATTAAGAAGAAGAGATATTCTTAGCTAGAAGCCATCCTAAAAGTGAAGTTACTGCTCATCCTCTCTCATGACTCCCCATCAGAAGATTATTCTAACCAACCACATTTAATTGTCCACTTTCTATAAACATTTCATTTCTTATTTTTTTGAAATTTTAGATAATTTATTACTCTGTATTTTAAAATAATCATAGACCACTAATTTGAACTAGACAAACAACAATAATCCAGTTCAATCCCACAAGAAAAATGGACAGCTGAATACAAATAGAGGAAATAGTTCTAATTGTTGGTAATCATGCTTCAAATGTGGAATTACAAACAACAATAATCCAGTTCGATCCACAAGCTGGAGATAAAAAGAAAGGATTCTATTTTACTCTTAACTTTAACAACATAGTATGCACAATTGATGTATCATTACTATCACGTAAGCTTGATTTACCTATGGCATGTGAACCCATTGAATGGTGTAGTGCAACTGTTGAAAGACTTAAAACCGTATTAGGCCATTATCCGATTTTTAAGCATAAAATTCAATACTTTAAAATCTTCTTGATGGTTTTTTTGTCTTTAATTAGCATACAGATTAAGGTAATTCAATAAAGTTAATTGACCTTGTTTTAAATTTCATAAGCATATGCATTATTATTATTATTCTTTAGCCTAGAGTTTCTAATTTTGCATCACATTTAGTGCTTCTTACATTTCTTTTGTTATCTTGATTTTAGATTACTCTTTTTTACTTTGATGTATTTCTTGTTCTCCACTTTCTGGCTTTCTTCTTCTATTTTGGTGACCATATGCAACTGAGTTGTAAATGCTACTATAATGCACCAAATTAATTTTGCGTTAAAAGAAATACATTGGTGTTCTAAACATGGCAGTGGTTTTTTTTTTGTGACCAATGACTGCTGCCTTAGTCATTTTCATATTACTAAACCTTGTTAAAGGAAAATCCTATTCTCACAAATAATTATTTTAAGTTCAGTATTTTTTCTTTGATTGTCGTTCCCTCAAGCTGAGCGGAACACAAAGCCAAAAATAACAAACTTAGAACATAAAGTAAAAGAATAAGAAAACTTAAAAAATAAAAGATCTAAAATGGGCCATTTAGCATACCAATAAAAAAGCTAAAATTCTAAAATAGACCATTTAGTTTGTTTATCATGAAAGAGAAAAACACCTTGACTTCTATTGTCATTTTTTATCTGCTTCAGGAAAAAATACAACAAAAAAAGAGAAAACGGAACAGGCTTCATTTTATCCCATCCCCGTGAACTTAGATATGCTCAAGTATGTTTTTTTTTTTTTGCTATTTTTGTTTTTTTAACTTGCCCAGAAGCCACCATATGTATACCTTCCATGTAGTGAATCTTTCATGTAGTAACTAAAACTGCAGGTCGATCTGCAGCATAGTTAAATCTAACAAAATAGAGGCTCTTTTGTTTAATGAATATCTAGAACTCTTTTGGGCACCACTCGCACGATTTGCATCCAGGGCTAGTATTAGATATAAAGCCTCAAAATTCAATTAAGCATTTGTAAGAAAAACACTTTTTCGATGAGCTATTTTCAAGTGTCTAAATGTGGCTTCATTTTGCATTGATATATTTAGTTTTTGAGAACTATTTTACACTATAATTTCTTACCACCAAGCCCAACTAGTTGAAGTTAAGATGATGATGATTGTTGTTGTTTTTGTTGTTCAATTGAAATGACACATTCATCTTATTGTTATAAACTCCTCAAAGTTGCTTACTAAGGAAACTTAGAATTGGTTTTAATAGCCATAGACTCTTGTATAAACACATCAAAATACATTGTTTAAAATAAGAAAAAGTGCTTGGAATTATGGATAAGCTTAAAACTAGGTTTCGTAAAGGAAATAAGAGTGTATAGACAACTCACCAACAGCCTCCATCCCTACTAATTTGGGCATGCACTTGCTGATATGATCCTCTGCTTCTTTGTCAGCTTTTAGTGTCTCACACTCAAAAGAAACAAAAATGTTTCCCTTTCGGCATTTCTCTTCAAGAAAATTCATAACATCATTTTCCCACCTGTCCGCGAAAAGATTAAAAAAACAAAGGAAGATATAAAGGGAAGCAACTTCAAAGCTGAAGAGGCCCACCCAGAGTGGACTCCATGTCAAATCTTTCAGGACCAAAGCAACTCACCCATGAGCATGCTCAATATTATTTAGCCTAGCAGCATCATGTCCTTTGCATTCCACTATAACATCCCGTTCTCTCATAGTCTGCAAAAGACCAAGTTTGAAAAACACAAAGTAAACATTGGATATCATAACTTCATAATCATCATAGGCAAGTAAATCAATCATCATTTTTTAGGTGGTTAAATTTCAAAGAGACATAGATCAATAACATTTGCAGCTCGGTGTCATGTATCACTTACTTTAAAGTCTGTGACCGTAAGTTTGATCAAGCGATAATCCTCCCCTCTACTGCACTCCCTTTCACAAGCCAACTCTTTACAGAGCAAAAGAGACACATTTTATCCCATTCCCAATACAAATTAGATTAATTTTATTGCAGCTTCAGTTCTAAGAAATCAAAGGATGCAAAACGCATCTACACAAAATTGATTGTATAAATACTCTTAGATGTCTGCATGCATTAGAAAAAGAACTCTACTTTCCTATCATATCAACCCATGGATGAAACAAATATCTAGAATGCTAAACTCAACACATCTAGACAATAGCATTATAAAAATCCTCGAGTAACAACAGTTCAGACGCATGTACTTGAGTATGTCATGTACTATCACACCAATGAACTGCATTCTAATTACATGATCATTTCCACTTTAGTAACAATTTCTGAGTTCAAACATTTTAAATAGAATTTAAAAAGAAAAATCGTGTGGGGCTCTAGATTGGCTGGAGGGAAACAGTAGCAGCGGATATTTTGAAGAGTAAATTTACCGGTGCCGTGAAGGCCATAGCAGATAGACTCTGGAAGCTGGATAAAGTGTCCAGAGATGGATCCACTTGATAAAAGTGCGATGGACGCTATCCCTTCCATCAGCATTCCCTTTCTAGCCTCCGTTTCCTTTGCTCCTGCAACATCAATACTTCAACTTCACATTTCACTTTATTCTTTTACATAATTGCATTTTAGCCGTGTAGAAATTCACCCATTTTCCCTTTAGATCATCTTCAATGAGAAATCGTTGGTCTTCATCCTGAATACAATTCAGTTGTAAGGGTTTGGTTTTTAGGCCCTTCGTTCAACAAAATAAAAATTATAATTCAAACCTAAAAAATTTAGGACTTGGTCTTCTAGTTTAGTTGGATTGCAGTGCATAGATTTAATACTCCCTTCATTCTATTAATTTTTTTTCTCTTTGTTCTTTTATAATCTCTAATATACTACTTTGATTATTAATATCTATATATATATATACACACACATATACATACATACATATATATATATATATATATATATATTGTATTAAAATTAATTTCTCGTTTCAATTAACGATATTTGACCAACTTGATTTTCAATTCAATTTATTTGACTATAAGTATAAAATTTAAAAATTTATTTTATATATTTAAAAAATACATCAAAAGTTTTACAAAACTAGAAGTGACAAGACTATATTATTTTATCAAACGATTAATGAAAGTAAACAAAAAAGTGAATAAAATTAGACCATGTGAATAGTAACTAAGAAAATTATTTTAAGATGGATGAAGTATAATTTTGTATTATAAAAATATGATATTTTAAAACTTTATTTCAAAATGAATGATTGATATTATTTACTCGGTATATCATAACTCAATTTTTTCCCCATATTTTATGGCCTAAGTTAGAAACTTTTGACCGAGAAAAAATAATCTTTAAGATAATTCAAGGAAGGAGGGAGAAAAGAAAAAGGAGAATAGTATATATAAAGGAGGAGTATAATGAACATATGTAATATAGATTTGTTTAAGGGTGAGCAAAAATACCGGCCTGACATTGTTCTGAACCAGACCGATATTGTACCAAACCAAAAAGCGGGTTTTTAAAATGATTTTAGTATATTATATCCCGAATCAAACCGTACCATTTTCGAAGTGGTACGGGACAGGTTTCCAAAAATTAATACCAAAAATAACAAACTAAATCGTTATCACTAAAATAATAAATTAATAAATTAATTATATATTTTCATTTGTTAATTTTTAGTAAGTTTAGGTAATATTTATTTGGTGTGACTTTCACATACTTAAACATATATTCTTATAACACTTTATTACCCTGAAGTACAACTCGAATTATAATTTTATTTGTTGGAAGAGCGAACTAAAATTTAAGTTTTTTCAAAAATTGTAACTAAACAATAATACACTTGTTTGGTAAGAAACTAAGAATGTATAAAAAAATATTTATGCACCAATTTTTTTAATTTTATCGGTTGTTTGTTATAAATAAAAATATTTTTAAAACGTCGAAGTATTATAAAATGGTTTGGCATGGTACCATCCTGTTACCGAACGACATGGTACATAATGGGTTTAGGCGTAAAACCAAAACCGTACCGAACCCTTTGAATAGTAACGATATGGTACGGATTCTTTAAAAATACTGAACCAACACGGACCATGCTCACGCCTACATTTGTTGCTTGATACCAAGTACCAATTCTATAATGTCGTGGGCAGTCCACTAGATTCACGCAGAGGGGGGGAGTGGGGTGATTAGGCAAAATTTTCAAAAAAAAAAATTACTGGCAGGTATCTCCTGTTTTGTGGTAACAACTCACTGGTCCATAACTTTTCAAAGTATACTCCGCAGTACCTTAAATTATATTTGAAAACTAACTCCGGAATGACTTTTCATTGATTTCTCGTTGTCATACTCACGTGCTCTGTTATCTTTTCTTCTTCTTCTTCTTCCCAAAAATTATTGTTGAGTACCCCTAATTTTTTGTTAGAACTTTCGAGTCCCATCATTTTCTAAAATATACTTTGAGGTACCTTATTAAAATATTCAAAAACTTACTCTAAAGGGATTTCCTTTTTGTCCTATTATTATTACTAGTATCATACTCGTGTGTTGTATGGGTCATATTTATGTTACTAATTTAAAATCATTTTTGAAAGATACAAAATGATGTCTAAATAAAATCATTTTTGTCCATGACTAAATACCAGTTTCGGTAACAATATTCCAACACGTTTTAGAGATTGCCCCGGACTCTTGTTAATCATCATTGCGTATGAAGTAAACACAGGGAATTGTCAAATTTGAAACTTTAATGGAATTCTCGTCTCGGATGATGTCAATGATAGTGTTGGAATAACAACTTCTTCACCCACGTGTCTTCTAGATAATATCTTTCCTTGTATTGAGTGATTAGCAAACCGAGTTACTATCAACCGTGTATGATTACATAAACCTAATTAATGATCAATATTTCTCAACAACATAATAGGTGTGCCTACCTTCAAAGTTAACTCATGATTTGGTACTCGAGAAGCACAAATCTTACTTAAGAACTCAGGAGAGTTTAAGTCACTAAAAAACTTGAATTACTGTCTGAGTTCTCAACCTTGTCGGAACTAAGATATGTTCAAGATTCACTTCTAGGATCCATCGCTGTCATATACTCATTTATAGAATCGACGGCATCTAATTTTGGAGCCAAAATTGTGTGATCCTGCAAATAGCTTAGTTGATTGGCTATTTTTGAAAGTCCGTATAAGTCAAATTCACTATAGTAGCTATTGGATCTTCAGAAAATGAAAGTAACATGTCATCAGGTATCGTTACCTCAGCATAGCCATCATGTTCATCCCCTGCAATTTCGTCGCTTATACTCGCAAAATTAGCGAATTCAAATAAGTGCTCATAACTACTATCATGAAACATTGATTGAAGTCGCATGTTTTTTTGTCAAACGCAACACAGTGCAGTCTTCCCAAATGTAGGGAGAATTGATTGTTGAATTAACAATGTCTTGTCTTGTTCCTTTTGGAATTACTGGCAAAATTTGCCGAAAATCTCCACCAAAGATGATTGTTTTTCCTCCAAAAGTTTGTCTTTCACTCATTGGATTGGAAAAACGTAGAATATCACGCATACTTCTATCCAAAGTTTCAAAGCAATATTTATGTGTCATCGGGGCTTCATCCCAAATAATTAATTTGGCCTTCACCGTGAATTGTGCTAGTGGAGTCACTACAAGAAAACTGCCTATCTCCCACAGACAATTTCCGTTGCAGAATTTGAAATTCCGTGGCAGATTTAAATTCTGCGACGGACCTGCAACGAATATTTTCCATCGCAGAAAAGTTGTGGCAGATTTAAAATATGCGACGGAATTGAAAATCCGTGGCAGATCTGCGACGGAACTGCAATGGGTTCGTCCATTTTTCCACACTAAAGAATCTACGACGGAAAGCTTAGAACCGTTGCAGATTTGGTGACGGAAACAGCGACAGGGAAAGCCGTCGCAGATCAGCGACGAAACCAAGGGGCAAAACACATTCAATTCTGCTGTTTTTAGGCAGTAGCTATTAAAATAAGGGGCAAAACACATTCAATTTTCACACACATAATTTTAAACAAGATTTCAATACGAAATAGATAATTCAAAACTAGATTAATGAAAACTTCACGTGCAAATGTAACATAATTCATAATATTGTAAAAACACTAAATATTAAAGTGTTAGTGTCAAATGTCAAAGGTGTCAACAAATCCCGGGCTGCCCTGCCCCCCCATTCCATCATCATCGCCTCGTGGAGGAAGGTTACCACCATATAACTTCCTTATCTCCTCCTGAATCGTCAGCGACAAGCTCGAGGTTAGATTATCAATTTGTTCTTGCAGCCTTTGGTTTTGCTCTTTAAGTGCTGCCATCTCCGCTGCGCTGCTGCTACTAGTGCTGGAACGGCGAGGTTTGGAGGACGAATTGATCTTCATCATTTCTCGCTCGTAGTCACCAACTCCACGAACACAGTTCTTCGCGTTATGGCCTAAACTAGCAAGTACCATATTTCTTGGTCACAGATAGTGTTCCTTCTTCAGAAATTTTTACTCCGTCGCAGATCCGTGGCAGATCTGCAACGGATATGTGTCTGTAGCAGATCTCCGTTGCAGATCAGATAAATTCCTGTAGTGAGTACCTTGCTTTATGTTGCAAGTAGAGTTTTCATCAGGAATCAATGAGATTTTAAAACATGAATGAGTTGTTCTACCACTCGGCAAAAGTAATGATGTCAGGATGAAGACGCTCTATGGATGACCAAGTTGTCAATGTTGTTACCAACCCCGCTCCTTAGCTTCGTTAGTTTTTTTCTTGTATTGTCATTTCAATTTATGTACAACAATTATAATATGGGTAATATTTTGATTTTACCTTTGAATCATCCTTGCTTGAATACGATGCACCATTGGTGGAATTGCCTTTTTCCTTTGAATTTCGACAATATTTTTTCTTCTTACACTGTGGGTTGCCTTACGCAAATGAGACCCTTAGGCCCATAAAGACGTACAAAATCAAT